TCTGAGCAACTAAAAAAGGAATAAATAAGGATACAATTATTATTTCCTATTCTCATATTTCCTATTCTAACAATTTCCTATTTTAATATTATGTACATTCTACAATATTCAGTAACTCTAAAATAATTTTTGTTTGTTTCAATTTTTATTTTTGTAATCATTTCATTTAATAATTGTAAATAACTTTTATTTAATTAGTTCAGGTATTGGTCAAAAATAATTTTGTGGACATTTTAAATCAATTATTCTTAAAAAAAATAAATAAAAATAAGAGGCACAATATGGATTTATAACATATAAAGTCATCAACTATTGAAATAAAATGTAAAAACTCCTTTTAGAGTGATTTAAAAATATGAAATATATTGAATCATACTTAAAAACTAATAAAAATTTATCAAAATCTATTTTAAACCCCAATAAGTGTGATTATAAAATAAATATATGCGTATCAGGTAAGTTTATAAAAATTCACGGTTCTTATTACTGCAACCATTACGCTACGGCCTTTACACCCCGCAACTGCAATCACGCCACCGCAATCGTTACGGCAACCACAACCGCTTTTTGAAACCTTACTGATTGGTGAGCCTTCTCTCGCCTAACATGGATTACCCTCCCTCCATGAGCAACTACACCCGCACTGCAAGCACATCCCCATTCTGCGAGTAGCCCCGCTCATCGTGGTCCTTCATACCTTATTCTCACATGTAATGCTCGGGAGTGACTACCTCTGTTCAGTTGCAACATAGCTTGGTCCTTGGCTCTCGCCTATGTCTCCCTTATGCACTCACTTCCTAAGTGGGGATTACTCTGCTCACTACTATCACAGGCATCACTTGGTAGCCTAGACTGGGAGCAGGGCTTAGTCATCCACTACTCGAGATCATTGGAGGATTGTGGATTGGAGACTAGGATCACAGGTTCATTAAGGTTGCCTAGTTGTCTCCCTAGGGAAGACAACTCCTCCTAGACCAGTCTTAGAGAGAGAGGATGGTCCTATGATGCACTTCCTGAGATGTCATACCTACCTTTGCAGGTTCTATGATGGAACCTTCGCGAGATCGGAGTCAGAGGACGCAATAGTGGGGTTGTCCATAGATGCATGTAGCCACACAAGAACAACACTAGTATAGCGTGTGCACAGCAACCTCATAGCTAAGTATTCAAGGTCTTTCACTACCACTCTCTCTATCTCTAAGGCTGCCTTGGTCTTCTCCTCCACTGCCTCGACGTTCCTTGATAGTGCCTCCCTACTTTGATTCCCTGAAGGTCCACAACTTGAGCACCTCTAATACCTAATACCTACAAAAAGCATTGTTATACTTGGAGGATAAAGTTATACCTCACTCTCCCACAATGAGAAGAAAAAAAATGAAACATAGATTTGGCTGTTTTTGGAATTCAAAATGAACTTAAGTTGTTTTGATGGCTTGATTGAACACAAAATTAAGTCCAGCAGCAACGGCAGCACTAGTGACGTTGTGAGATGTTACTTGTTAGTAGTAGTTGGCAGGCAATGTTGATAATTGCTGGTAGGATTGTTGATGGCAGAGACAATGGGGTGGGAGTTGATTGGTGTGCAGAACTGGCAAGGACTTGGGACGGGACCAAAATTTCATGCCTCGAGGATCCAAATTATGAATAAACTTTTTTTTTTCGTTTACCTAGATGATATTTTTCTTCTAAACCATGATTTCATTTACTGAAAATTTGTAGTTTTTATTAAAAAAATCCATAAATTGTATGTGTTCCCCATTTAATAGCTATACAACATGTGTACATAACTAAAAAACAAGACACAAAAATGGTGGGAATTGTTAAAATTTATCACCTACTTCACCCACTTAAACCTACTCCACTAAACCTAACCCACTACACCCACTTAAACCTACTCCACTAAACCTAACCCACTACACCACTACCACCTCCACTTCACCTACTTCTTACCTACTACACACTCACCCTCTTCTATATATAGGAATCATGAATCATTGTAATAAATAACAACATATCAATCAATAATAATACATACAATTTATTCTCTCTCTTTCTCTATACATTATTTCTTACAGGAATATAACAAAAGAATATACATTATATATATATATATTGTATGTATATAAATATTAGATTTATAAACAGTGAAAATTAATAAAAGTTAACACTAATTTAACATTAAAAAAAATTAAATCAACCTGATACTAAGTATGTGTTGCATTGTGTTCCAAGGATTGTTAGAAGCCATAGGAGCTAGTCTCTCAACTTCACAACTGTGTTTAGATCTGTTTTGCGTTGTCGATGGTTTGATATGTGTTGTATATGTTTTGAATTTAATCCTCATGTTTCCACATATTTTAATATGAACCCTAAAATCAGATTTAAAAAATTAAAAATAAGATTCCTCCGTGTCCCCTAAAAACAAAACTATTAAAAAAATAAACACACCACGTGGCATGTGCCGTCCTGTCTATGTCCTGTAAACAACACAGCTAAGACACCTATTTTGAAGTGTCAATGCTTCATAGCCCCAGACTCTCCATGATTGCTTTCTCACTCCCTTTAAGCCTATTTCGACTCGTACCCCATCCATCTTGGTGACCTAGCTCCAGTTCTGTGCCTGCCATACTTCCAAGAAGGCCCCCAGCATAGTAGTTAAATCGAGATTCGTATCGTGAATCGAAATGACCTTGTACCGAATCGCGAATCGAATTGAATCGTGAATCGTAAAGATTCGGTCACTTTTTTAAAATTACATAAAATATATATTTACACATTTAGATGTTAAATATATCTTATGAATATGAAATATTTAGACTTAAATCAATGAAAATGTTATTTTGAGTGATAATCACGTAATTTAATAGGTAAGAAGTTAACAAAGATTCTTATGTAAGATCACTATCTTACTTTTTTTCTTTTTAGATATTTCTTATCAACCATTCGTAATAAAGATAATAACCAAATAGACATTATCAATTTCCAAAATAACAATAATTAACAACGATATTGATATTAGGACAATAAGCATACGCACTTTTCTAAGTAACAATGAACAAATAATAAGAAAGAATTATTTAGAATATTTTATTTTAAAGCCTAAAACATTTTCAAAGGTATAACTGACCTCACATATGTAATATTCAATTATATTCAATTTAATAAAATAGCAATAGATAATTCATAGTGTAACTTTAATCTTAAACATCTTTAGAAGATATATTATGATTTTTTAGAGGGAAAAAAAATGAGAAGAAATGTTTAAAATATGTTAGGTTTAACTGAATCTGATTGGATTCTATTAAAAATTTCATGATCACTAAAATAACAACAAATTATGTATATATGTTGGTTATTTTTGTATTAAACGCTATTAAAAGTTGCATTATGTCATTTTCACTAAAAACATGGAGAAAAAAATAGTCGAAAATATGCCGAACACAATAATTTAAAAAATTACATGAATCATAAAAAGTGAATTGAATCGTGAATTGATTGTGAATCGTGCGATTCACTAGAGATTCGCTTCCAAAATAGATTGGCCCATAGATTCGTATCGATTTTTCAAAAAATTTGAATCGAATCGCGAATCGTAAGATTCTGATAAAAGAGAGATTCACCCATAGATTCGTATCGATTTTGCAAAAATTGTGAATCGAATCGCGAATCGTAAAATTCTGATAACAGAGGCCCCCACTACCAGCCAACTCACCTCCAAGGCTCCAACCATCCACAATTAACTTTCCTGTCTATTTTAAGATGTGAACCCTTAAATATAAACTTTTTAGGTTTACCAAATATACATTTTGAAGTCAGCAAGGGATGCAAGGACTCATTTGTTCAATGTTGGCTTGAAATATTTTAGCATGTTGAAATAAATTTTCCACTTGCCATTGAAAGAGGCACTTAGGCTCTATTTGGATAGATGTGAATTTCAAATCAAGGGATTTAAAGTTGGATTTTATAAAAATATTGGAGAGTTAGCTATTATAGGTGGATAGAAAAACTAGAAAATATGAATTTTAGTAGCATCTTTGTAGCTAAAAGGAGAATTCTTAGCATGATTTCAAATAACTACTTTTACATAGGTATTTCAAATGCACCTTGATAAAACTCTTTAATATAATCTTGAAATACTTGGGTAAACTATCATATCTTAATTTAAGCTATCTTGCTTTCTTCTTGAATGACTAATGCCAAATCCATGCATTTCAAATTCATAAATACAGACGGCGTCTTATTGTAAAGTATCTTGAAAACAAAGGAAAAGAAAAAGACAAAACAATGAAAAAACATAAAACTTAAGATTTGTCCATAGTAATATGCTAATGACTTTGGATATGCTCTAGTGCTCCTCCCTACACTGAAAAATATAATCCCTGTTTACTGCAGCTTAAATAAGCTGTTTATAGCTTATTTTAGTTTGGAAGTTTGTGTCAGATTGTTTGATGCAGTTTCTGCTTGCATCTTAGTAGGCAAAATTAGCTTAAATAAGTTGATTATGTAGAAGCTGGGAAGGGGTGCTTTTAGCTTCTGTTTTCTGCTATTTTATTATCATCTTTTATCTTACAATAAGTTGCACCAAACAAAGTCAATAGATAATTGTATTGGTTTTTGATAAAGCACAAAATATGCAGGCAGAAATAGAGGTGCATTTGACAGCTAGTTTTAGGAATTTGTTTCTTGTTTAAGCTTTATGACAAATTCAAATTTTGATAGATGCCTAGATAATAATTTGTTCATAGTTTATTACTCAGTTAATTTGTTTATTATGTGTGTGTGTTTCCTTTAGAATTTGCTACCCTCTGTTCATGTAATGTTATCATTCATGCTCATTTTTACATTAATGGTAGGGTACTTGAAATCACATTCTGCATATCACTATTTGTGCATCTGAATTTCTTAGGTAATGGTAAATCTAACTTGTGCCTTTTCTTAAAAAATGAATAACAATTATAATAATAATTTTTTGATTTGTTCCTGAACTATGATGAATGAAGGGGGAATTTTGAAGGATACCCTGAGGCCTCCTATTCCAGAACGGTGTGATCCTGAGTGGAGGACACTGATGGAACAGTGCTGGTCAACGGACCCCGAAGCTCGGCCATCGTTTACTGAGGTTACAAATAGGTTGCGATCAATGTCCATTGCAGTCCATGCAAAGGGACAAAATTATGTAGCAAGACAGACGAGGCCTGGCATCCCTGTGTAATTCCGAAGGCAACACACCACATACCATGTTTGAATTTGTTCCTTTCTTCAAGAGCCAAGATTGTCTTGTATCTTGTTGGAAGAAACCCTAAGGTGGAGAGGATTTATAAGCTTTCAAGGGCATGAGCACGAATACAGTAATTGCTGGAGTTGTAACTCTCCGATGCATAGTATCTTCTTTTTTTTCTTTCTTTCCCCACTTTTGTTAATTAGTATAGCTGTTCATTCATTCATTCTTTTTGGTATATAGGAAAAGACATCGTATTAAGGTGTGATGGAGAGGGCATATATATATTTTTTCCCCCTGATTAGTACTGTTGATGTTTGTGTATATATATTGTATGCACATGAATGAAGTAATTTAACTTTTGTTTGATGTATCTGCTTTCTCTATGAGCTTTTTGTAACTGTGCTAAGGTGTGGTGTATCTATTTTTGGCAATGGATGAAACCCAAATTTGACGTGTGTATTATGTATTTTTTCTGAGGAAAGTGTTTGAGAGAGAGGGAAACAGAATGGAAGGGAGTTCAGAGGAGAAGAAGAGGTCAGGAAAGAAGGAAAAAGGAAGCCTCTCCACTCCTCCATCTCTATGATTATGAATATGACTATCATGCAATTCGTAAGGTTCCTATCATGCAATTTATAAGGTTCCTTCTCGTGGTGGTCCTAATGTTAAAGCCAAACATGCTGAGATCTGTTTTCTCGAAGTTTGTCCATTATTCTTATCCAATCTTATTAAACGGGGATATGGGCGAAATTCTTTCAGAATAAAGTTTTAGGCCACGTTTGTTTGGGTGAACATGAGTTTGGGATTGGATTAATAGTTCAATAAAATTATTAATCTGATGTTTGATTAAACAATTAAAGTACGGACTAATTATTTTAAACTTGACTATTAGTTAAGATAAGATACATAATTCAATGAATTCGTAGTCCTAGGACTATTAATCATGGGAATGCTAATCCAGTCTGTCCAAACAAACATGGCCTTAATGTATTAAGGATAAGTACAAAAAGTTTTCTTTAAAAATGCGTATCACTATTATCACAATATATTAGTAATTTAATATTTTAGATTTTAAAATAATATTCACTTTGCTTGGTTCTTCTTTTCTAAAAATACTTTTCAGAAAATTTTACTTTCTTGTTTTTCGTTTTTTTTGTTTTTATTGAATTTTTTTAATATTTTAAATAATTTTTTTTACTTTTTAGACATACCTATCATAAATATACTTAAAAAGTAAAAAAATTATGAAAATAACCTTTTAAAAATTCACTAAATGCAAAAAATTAAAAAAAAATACAAGAATTTAGTACATTTTTTGTATTTTGATGTATTTATTAAATTTTTAAAATATTTTTTCACAAATTTTTTACTTTTTAAATATATCTAAGTAAGGAGCATCTAAAAAAGTTTTTTTAAAAAAAAAAGCTTAAAATTTTAAAAATATTTACTTAAAACAAAAAACACGAAAATTAAAAAACTCAATTTTCAAAATATTTAATTCAAAAAATTCAAACCAATCACACTGTTTACTTTTGATCTAAATATCAATTTTTAATAAAATTAGTAATTTTATAATCCTCTCATTATGATTTATCAAATAAGATTTATGTTGACTATAAAATTTAAAAAAAAAAAAAAAAAATACCGTCGAAATTGACGTAAACAGTAACATGTTATTCTGGTTCACATTAACATTTTACTGTTACAAAAAATAGAGAATATACTAGATAAACTAACCAAAAATACGCATACACAAAATTTTTAAACTTGTATAAAATAAAATAAAAGTGTTCCTCGTCAAATGAGTTCTATGATATATATATATATATATGCATGGGTAATACTGTCTAAGAAAAAAAAAAATTACTCTGTCCTTACTTAATTATGCGCCTCCTCCTTAGGGAGTTTCTGAAGCAAAATAAATTAGATTGCCATTTTCACCAAACAAGGGTTCCATAGAGAGATTTTGGCCAAATTTTCAATATTAAAATGGCTAATTACTTTCTTTTTTTCCCAAATATATATATGCTGAAAAATAAACAATTTAAATTTGTAGTTTGTTAGTGTTTAATAATCTAATTTAGCACTTAAAATTGAATTAAGTGAAAATCAATTAAACTTGTGTGTTAATTACAACTGATATCATTGAAAAATTTAAGTGACCCTTAAAATATAAGTTAAAGTTAATAAAATTTAAAGTGGTATGAAATTAAGTAATTGTTGCTAACTTTTAACTTCTACCTCACTATTATCACTGCTGCCGCTGCCGCCACCACAACTACTAATATTATCACTTTTGTTACTATTGTCATTGTTGCTATAAGTATCACTATCATTTTACTATTGTCATCACACTACCACCAACGCCACCTCACTACCATTGCCATTATAGTCGTCACTTCCATTACAACCATTACCATGACTACCATCATCATTCCACCATCACAATAACCACCATCACTGTCACCCTTTCTTATCTCTATGATATTACCCTTTCACCATAATCACAACCATTATCCATTTATCTCCACCATCATTATCATTGGTGTCATAGCTAATGTTGTTGCTTCCTCTACCACCACTAACTCATCATCACAATATAAAAATTAAAAGATACAATTTAATCTTTTACATATTAAAATATATAATTTGTTTTAGTTCAATATGTGAAATTTTATCAAACAATTATTTATCTTAAAAAATTCTGTGTGGGGATATATTTTCTAAGTCCCAACACGTGGCCAAGGTGATGCCGACGTGTCAGCCGAGGTGCCACGTGTCCAAGACATGACGCCGAGGTGATCTCGGCAAGGCCGAGGTTAACTCCGAAGATATCGGAATCCGAGATAAGCGGATAAGGCACAAGAGTCTTAGAATGAGGAAGGACTATAGCATGGATAAGGATAACACTCTTAGGGAGTTTATCTTTATCTCTTAGAGAGTCCAGGGTAAACACTAAGTAAGAGTCCATTGAAGCTAGGCTTCTGTTGGGACAAGGATTGAGTTAACTATAAAAGAGAGGCACCCCCGTGGGTCTAAGGTACGCAATTTATGTTTTGAAGAGTGAAATTAGCACTATTGATTATCTTTGAGAGATATACTGACTTGATCGTCGGAGTGCTCCCAGGTGGACGAACCACCACCGGAATCTTCTCTTTCTGTTGCAGGTCAGCCAGGTGTCATCTATTCTGCCAGTGCTCTCTAGCTAAATACTAAGTTGGGCAGTGTGATCGGAAAATCACTCACACAATTTGGTGCCATCTGTGGGAAAGAAAGAAGAATAGATGGCCAATGACGGACAGAAGGAAAAGATTGGGGGCGACACTCCTGCTAGGAGTGGCAGACCTATCGACCTTGACGTCGAAGGAGACAACCGCAACACAGAAACTCGTGACCAGAATCACAGCAAGAAAGACGTTGGCTAGGATGGCGACGTGCCAAAGAAGCCAGATCGAAGTGGGTACTACAATGAGAATGACCTCCAAGTATGGAAGGATAGATGCCTGCGGAGGGATGAAGAGGTAAAAGAGATGACAAACAAATTGGAAGACTTGTAATCGGTCGTCAATTTTATGATGCAAAACAATGTCATGCAGCCACCATACCCACTGCAGGACACGCCGATCCCAGCGGCCAATGCCCAGAAGGGAGGGCATAAGCAAGTCCCAATAGCCCCTCAGCATACCAGGAGTGAAAAACACTCTCACCAGCCTTCAAGGGAGGTCGGACGAAGAGAGTCAAGGAGAGAAGAATCACGGAGGATGCATCACGTGAAGGAGGCAGACCCCAAAGAACATCGACATGTTCAGGGGCAGGCACTCTGCTTCGACACAACTCACGGAGAAAGATCGAAAAGGACCCACCATGAAGCTGAGAGTAGTATGCCGAAAAGATTGAAGTCAGGAGATAGTCGAGCCCCTGGGCGGAGCAAAGAAGACTTGAGAGATTACCTCAAGAGGAAGCAGCAAAATACCGATGCCGAGGTAACTTCCCCTGAAAAGTCGAGAACACTATTCTCGGTGGAGCTAGACAAATTTGAGGCTCCGAAGAGATTCAGTATGCCAAGGTTCCAAATATACGATGGTAAGTCGGACCCCAACTTCCACGTTGGGTTATACTTGAACTCGATGGCATTATATAGTGGGAACGAGCCGTTGCTCTGCAAAGTGTTCCCCTCATCCTTCGGGGAGATTGCATCAGATTGGTTTCACAGACTACCAAAGGGAAGTGTGAAGACCTGGGAAGGCCTGGCCGAGATGTTTGTGGCCAAGTTCGTGACAAACAAGCTGCAGCTATTAAGAGTGGATGCATTGATGGCTCTGAAGATCAGCAAGGATGAAGGCCGTATGGCCTATGCAAAAAGGTACTATGAGGTATTCAACCGAATACCAGAGTGTAATCAAGAGGTGGCGGTCGTATCTTTCAAGAACGGCCTAAAAGACAACTGTTCACTACGAAAATCTTTGGCAAAGACATTGCCAAAAAGCATGGAAGAGCTCATGGCGAGGATTGAGAAGTATGCCAGAGCCGAAGAAGATATATCGGGGACCAAAGAGGCAAAGCAGGAGAAGGGAAACGGCTCGCTGAAGCGAGGCCGAGGTAACAATGGATTGAGCAAGCAAGAGACAGAACTGAGGGCTGCATATGCAATGGCAATTGTGTTCCGAATCCCAATTCACAAAGTCTTGGATCAAATTCGGAATCAACCCTATTTCAGAACACCAGTAAAGGCACCAGGAGAATTCATCGGAAGAAACCTTGGCAGGCATTGTGCTTACCACAATGAAAACGGGTATATGACTCAAGGCTGCAAAACCCTAAAAACACACTTGGAAGACCTGGTGAGACAAGGCCATCTGAGAGACCTTATCGATGCGGCCAGAACAAGGGAAGAACATGCAAGATTGCCTCAAGCGACAACAGCTCTACCTCTCCCAGCACAGCAACCTCAAGCAGGAGGACCACAGGTAATTAATGTCATTCACTCGAAGGTCAGCGAAAATGAGATCAGGGGGGAGACCCAGAACGTGAAGCACTTGCAGCATGTCTACCAAGTCGGGAAAAAGAGACATCGGGCAAAGGAGTGCCAAGGACCGGTAGTGTCCTTTTCTGAAGCCGACCTTGAGATGGTGCAGCACCCGTATAATGATGCCTTGGTAGTATCCCTCTAGGTTGGGGAATGTCGAGTAAGGCGCATCCTGATTGACCAAGGCAGCTCTTGTGACATCATGTACGTCCGATGTTACAAGGAGCTTAGCCTTCACCCAGAAGATATGGAGCAATCCAATAGCCCAATGGTCGGGTTCAATGGAGCGCTGACATGGCCACTAGGAACAACCAGCTTGGAGGTGCAGGCAGGCACCAAGAAGATAA